GGGGGGGGGGATTCGGGGGCCTACCTTTTCATGGATGAGGTGTTTGAGGGGGTATCCGTACACGACGAGTACCTCGTAGAGCCTGTAGAGTACGGGGTCCTGGGGTGGGAAATCGCCGAGACCACGGTGGGGGAAGTAGTCCTCACCAAACGCTTCGTCGAGGTATCGCTGGGGCAGGTTGAGTGCAGCTGAGAGTTTGGCGACATCGCTAGCATCCGGCTTGGCCTGGCCGTAGAAGATGGCGGCCACATACCATTCGTCCCTGCCCACTTTGGTGGCGAGGTCCGCAAACGTGAGCGACGATTTCGTCTTGGCCGCATGCAGCGCCGCGTAGATCGGCGGAAGCGTAGACAGGATCTTGGGCGTCTGGATCTGTCCCGACGAAGTAGAAGACGAGGACGACATGGCGGCAGTAGTTCTCGTGATAGCTGGAGGTGCGGTGGAGCAGAAGATTGCGAGAGGGGGCGAGGTTATATGAGGAAGCGCTTATCTTGGGAAGGGAGAAGTGTGGAGGATGCACGGACGTTTTGCTCAATCATCAGAGTCCGGCGCGAGAGGACCCTGCGCTCCACCTTCCCCACATTAGCGAGGCGTCCTTATCTCGGCCTTTTCCCGCCCATCGACGGATCGGCGTTTGGTGCTCGACGTCGGTCGAAAGCGTTGAGACGCCGTTTGCATCGGTCATAATCGGCCGCAACACTACACCACGACGGTGTCGTTGGTCGCACTCTCTTTCACAGCACTCACGCCGCGGTAAAACAGGCTTCCTCGAATCTGTGCCTCTGCTGATTCGGACCACCTTGTATTGCGTTTCCAGTGCTTTAATCGCGAGCAGTCCGTACAGTCATGAGGTGCGGTCCTGTGTGCGCCTACATGGTGCCCTCGACAGCGGGAACGCCGTCGATGAGCGACTCCCAGGGCTTCTGGTTGCGCGTAAAGATCTGGGCGACGGGCGTGCCGATGCTGTCCTTCCAGCCATCGCTCTTGGCAAACAGGCCGAGCTTGATGATGGCCAGCCCAGCACGTGTGGGGCTGACCGTCTGGACGGGCGAGCCGCACTCGGGACAGAAGTGGCGCTTGGAATTGTTGCCGCTCGTCGTGGTCGTGTCCGTGTCTACGCCATAAAGACAAGCTGCATTAGTCAACGCCCTCAGAAGGGGCATGTGCGGAAGAAGTGACTTACAGGCCTTGGTCTCGCCGGTGATCTCGACCTTGTCCTCAGGTACGATGGTCACGAGCGAGTAGGCTGACCAATCACGAAGCATCAGATCCAGTTAGCATATGCGGTTCGGAGTAGAACAGAGTGGAAAGGTGCACTTACGAGAGCCAGCGGTCTGTTGGCAGTTCCTGCGCAGGCATCATCGATCCAAAAGGCAGCAAGTCAGCTACAGCCAACACCAGAGCCTTCTCGTTAGGAAGTGGGGACTACATACGTGCATCGGCAGACGACGGGCTTGAGTGGCAGCGCATCGTCCTTGACGCTGACCTGGACTTTTCCGCACAGGCACGATCCTTTGAGAGGCATGTTGAAGTCTAGACCAGAGTTGGTGATGTTCGTGATGGTGCTTTCTTCGACAGTCCACGTTGACAGAGGCAGTCTTATAAGAGGATGTCGCCCGACACCCCGGCATGTCACGCACAGACCCCTCTACGTCAGCGCGGCAAACACGGCCAGTGGGATGCGGGTAAACCGTGACTGTCCAAGATGGCGACGCACAAAAAGCATTGGTTGCACCTGCTATATGAACGCTTCTTTCGAGCAAGCGAGACAAGACGTGGGAGAGGCTTAGTGGTTTGGCGTGAGA